GTACAATTCCAGGGGGGTACAATTCCGGTCCGTACAGTTTTTTAGATGCCAGTGGATTTAATCAAACCACTCGTGCATAACAATATCAAAGTTTTATGAGGGGGGTACAATTCCAGCCCGTACACGCCGTTTTGGTCGAGAAAATGAGACGTCATCGTGACGTTACAAACCAGCAGGGGGTACAATTCCAGGGGGGTACAATTCCGCCACCCCGAATTTACGGCATCGTAATCTACTAGTGAAGACCTTTAATTTGATGTGCATATCGACCTATGCTTACGTTAACAATTTTCTTCCGATTCCTAGGGCTGTGCCCCCTGAATGAGTAAGCGTAAAATAGCAATTCAAATTAAATGAATCTTTGAACAACTGTCATTTTGTACAGGATCAACTTTTTGAAGTGCGGATTGTGGCATTGTATTCTACTAAAAATGACCTTTAATTTGATGTGTATATTGACCTGTGCTTCCATTTACGACTTTCTTTCGACTCCTTTTGGGCCGTCCCCCTGAAGAGTTATTGGATCACTGAATATGTGTTAAAATAGAGTTTTATGCCCTATAACTTTGTACCAAGTATTCTAGCTCTATCTGCATTATCTTTTTAAATATTTAACTGTCCTGGAACTTTTTTACCACCCTGTATAGAGTTTTTATATCAACGAAACCTAAACTATGAACTACTATTAATTATTCAATCTAAAAGTCAATGATAGATACAGGTTGTGTTGCTGTAAAGATTGAAATTAATTGATAAATTTTATGGTATCCTAAGAAGACATCACATCTACAGTATAAGGACCAGCTGTCTCAAATAATTTATTAAAAAATAACATAGTTGAGTGAGCATGACTCAGAGTCGGCTTTTGTCTAAAATTATACGTTCTACCTTCTTTTGTTATTGAGATAGCTAAAAGAGCAAAAAGGATACCATGGCTTGAAATAAATTGTCCTATTAATTTTATTTTGTAAAAATGCGCATGTTACAAAAACGTTTATTATATTAGTAATTTATATCAGAAATATTTGTCAGTGGGTCACTTCGACTGAGTCAATTTTGATTACAAGATTTACGACAACTTTAACACGGGGATGGAATGTCTAGTCCCATCAATAATCAAAGCTATTCAATTACTACTACTGCTTCTATGTTCTATTCAAAATATAGTACCAAGGTGGTAATTCAATTACTTCGAATGTATCCAATGTGAAACGTTGGAGAAATATAATGTTATTTTTAAAGTGCTCGTTATGAAAGCTCCACGCAACGCTTTGAGGTTTTCATCCCGCAAAAGTAAAGAGAACATTTGACTCTCTTATTACACTTACAAGCGGATCGGAGTCCTCGGTTGCTATAGTTACCGTATTGACGCAACCACCTGTGGCAATGTAGTCTTTGTTTGTTGTCTGACGGCTCGCATACCATTGTTGCGGGGTTCATTAATAAAATAAAATGATTACACAGTCTTCCCTTCAGAACTAGGCAAACGTTAGAGTCTCAGTTAGAAAAAATTGCGTTGAGAGTAGTACACAGGAATAATTCAAGCATTGGAGAATTATATATGTAATACATGTATTTTGGTGTGGATATCCCATCCACATTGCATTGACTTTAAACAGTGAAATTAGACCTATCGTCCCACAGAAAATTTGAAGCGTGTGTGACTTCGTGTTTCATGTTTGCAATGCTTGAGTGGTAATTTAAAATAAATTTTTTATTCTTATTGCAGATTTTTAAAGTCCTTTTTTATAATTTATAATTTGTGCCTAGCCTTTTTGTTGTTATATAGTGACAATCAAGCAATGGCCTTCCAATAGTTTATTATATAGTTAAATGAGTTTGAAAGAAGTTTGAAACAAAACAAAAATGGTAACAACACGCCTTCTTCATAATCCATGTAGTATAAAATCTACCAGGGAGCATACACACACAGGTGGTTTGTGTTAAACGTTACTTATTATACACAATGTTGTAGGCCTAATTGTTGAAATGGCTCGGTTACAGTTTAATGCATTGAAATTACACCGCAACGACAAATACTACGTTAATTTGATTTAAGTTTGTTGTTTTACTTGGCATTTAAATTTAAAATGTGTATACTGTGAGCTTAAGTTTACACTCCATTATTGTAACTTTTCATCACAAAACCTTCTTTGGATGAATTTATAAGGGGGAAAGAGCGATAAATAACAAATTAAAATAAAATGACAGAAATATGTATAAAAACAGTTATTTATATTCTTACGATGTTGGAAAGTTATAAGTGAGAGAATTTTCCATTCACTGGCGCATCCTAGTGGAAAATAAAAGGTCAAGGAATATAATTTGTTCAGAAATAGAACTTGAGCAGTGGAGCTATTTATAAATAATCTCCCTAGACTTATTATTTGTTTAATACATGAGTTCTTGATGAAAGTTGTTTTTTTACATTCTTGTTTAATCTAGTAATAGTCAATTAATAATTAAAGGTAATAAAATCTAGAAACATGTATACTGGTATCATGAATTGTTATACTCAAGTTCGAAATTAAAAGTTTTGAGAACAATTTTAGTACTTTAAAAATTACCATTTAGATAAAGTGGCAACATTGTTAATGTAGGATTTTTCATTAGAATAGTGGCCATTGTCCCACCCTTCGTCGAGAGAAGAACGAGTCCGATTCCCGAAAAATATACAAGTATATTAGACATTTGGACCATTTTCCTTAAAAGTGATTATAGATGGATTCATATCAGATTCCACCGATATAAACACAACAAAAAATACTTTATGCAACAAAAATCTATCATCTACACAAGTTGAATCTGGAAAATATCGTTCCACATGGTGTTTTACAATATTCTAAATTCGTCCGTTGAATATACAAGTGTTCCACCTTAGGAAGTAATATTTAAAAAAATAATTAATAAATTCGTATGATTAAGGATTTATTATAGAGTACAAGGTCCCATATTAATAAAATCAGGTTTGTATAGCAGATTTACTTTAATGAAGAAATATCCACTCTGGAACTATATACACAGCACCTTTCCATAATAAATATATACGAGGTGTTAGCCCGTCCTACGTACGGGAGTAGTGAGTTAAAACGGTGTAGGCCTATAATTCAGGACAGCTAGTTTACACGTATAAAGATAAATTTTATTGCAGCCTACAGTAGAAAGAGTAATTATCAATTGAGAAGTCAATGATATTACCTTCCATAAAATGCATATTAACCAATATCACCACAATACAATTACTCATACTATACACAATTTCCAGTAGGTCTGAATTGAAACTCCCTAAAATAAAACAAAAACATCCAATAAAATTCACAGTACACATAATTATAACGTTGGTGTCCTGACATCATTAACAAATAGTCCACACACATCCTTTATGTCAATTTCACTGCATCAATTGCTAAATAAATAAGTGTAAACAAAGAAAAGTAAACACAACAACATATTAGTTTGTTTTGTAACAGCTGAGTCAAAAATAATATTCATTTGAACAAAAGAACTGGTCACATGTTGAAGGAATTTAAAAAGTAAAAACGCTAGTAGAGCTAGTGACGTAATTAATTAATTGTCTATGTTTATTATCTATTCCGTTATCAGTTCCAATATCCTTGATAATTAAACCACCCTCATTGAATCAATGTACATCGTAATTCCCCATATTCATTTATTTAAACTATAAAATATTCAGCGCCTCCAAACGTAACCACAACTAAACACACGCCAAACAAATTTTTTAGATTTCATAAAAGGATGGTTAGTCTAATTGCAGTATCCTAGGTCAATGATGACGTTGTGATCAATCTGTGTCATTCATCTGTATATCTTTGGATAACACCCGTCTGAGGTTGTGGTAGTAAATTAAAATCGTATTCCTGAGGATTCTTGATCTCCATCTTTATGACATCAATATTTCCGGGCCTAATCCAAACAAAGTTCAAGCATTCAAAAAAATTGATTGTAAACAAAAAGCTGCCAAGATGAATTAAAACATGTAAAAATTGTGATTTTCCTACCCTTTCCAAAAAAGTTGTGCAGTAAAATAATTTGCATATCTTTTTTATTTAACTCGTGTACAGAGCCTCGACTTGTACACATCGATGGTGTTACTTATCTCGGTGGTCTACTAATCTTACTTATTTCCTATAATCAATGACAAAATCAGAGTAAATAATAACCTCATAGTTCTATAGGGCATTTTTATAACTAACCAGCTGTTAGTTAAAACAAATTATATTGCTCTAAAACAAATCGAAGATTACAAACATTGCTTTAAAAAATAATTTGAACACCCTAGTATTTTACTATGTATATTTAATTAATCTGTCATCCTCTTACAGAAGAATTGAACGTATCAATGATTAGCATTACACATAGTATAAATAAGTCAACCCTAAGTATGTCTTTACATGTTTATCCAAATGCTGAATTTGTGACACAAAAGCTGAATGTTTACAGCTGTTATGTTAAGCAAATTATTTTATGCCAAAAGCTAGTTTAGAATCTTAGCATCGGCTGCTAGACTTAAAAAAAATTAAAACTCAATTTCTAAAAAACTGGGACCCAAAACTAAAATTATGGCTTCGACATTCCCTAGTTCTCAAAATTATCTTTCCTTCAACAAAAAAATCATGAAAATCCGTCGAGTGGTTGATTCAGAATCGTGAAATAAAAAAACACTGTTTCGTTTTAATATTATAGCTTAGAACATTTCATCATTAACAGTAATTTCACCCGTAAATGTTTGATTTGGGAATGTATGTCTCCATTTGTCCCCATTCTCATATATACCCATTATATATGCCCTAATGCCACTGTTAAGTTTAGGACCTTCTAATTTTTATGCATATTGTAAAGTCTTTAAGTGTGTCTTTTGTCAAATCGGACTCTTCCCCATTCAGATCTGATATCATAACAAGTAGCTAGGCGATATGTTTTATATGTGCTTATTATCATAAACACCATTCTTGTTGACATTTATGTTGGGGTTGTTCCAGCGGAGGACGCTGAGCCGGGAGATTCAGGGATATGTGGCGCCATTTTGACCGCCTTGTCGTGGGTAGTCGTCGTCTGCACGCTACCCTTCTCCCTCTTCGTCTGCTTTAAGGTAATGTACAAAAACCATCAATTTCTTAAAAGTAAAGTTATTAAATTTGGCTCAAACATCGTCCTCCACCTAAAGCGCAGTTATTGCAAAAATTTTAATTTTCTTTTTAATAATGCATAATCAAAACTAAACTAAATTAAACAATGTCTTTGTTCAATAACTTGGTCTCGTAGGTAAAAAACCCGTAACATGATACAGGCAACTTGGGCTGTAGTTTTGGCCTTGCACATATTAAGTACTGGATCACTACTTATTAGTGGTACACCAGTTAGTAGTAGAAGCCTACTTAGTTGCTGATCTGAAAATGGCTATCTGAAGATTTCGGATTGTTGGCTCAAGTTACCTAAATTTGATCGCTAAAGCTCTTTCCCCCCCAAAAAATATAAATATATATTGGTTTCCAACTGCATAATCTCAAGACACCAACATATAGTTGAACATACAGGGTGTTTTTTTAAAAACTTGCATCTTTATTTATGTAAAAATCGCAATAGATAGAAATATGCAGTTTGCGGGAATCATCTATTGACGTAGGGGGACCAATTGTTTTGAATTCAACGTTACATTCACATTCCCCCCCTTTCCCCCCCCCCTGCCACCAACTTATTTTTTTTAAATAGCAAGGTACCCCTTGTGACATATCAAATAAAAGAGCATAAAAAAAGAAAATTTTTGGTGAAAAAAAATTTAAAATCGGCTCATGAATTTGTGAGATAATCACCCCCCTTTTCCCCTACCCATAACTTGTTTTTTAATAGCAAGGTACCCACCCTTGTGACATATCAAATGAAAAATAAATTTCGCCAAAATTTTTCTTTTTTCATGCTCTTTCATTTGATATGTCACAAGGGGTACTTTGCTATAAAAAAAAAAAGTTCCGGGGGGGTGAGGGGGGAAATATCTCACAAATTTATGAACCGATTTTCAATTTTTTTTCATCAAAAATTTTCTTTTTTCATGCTCTTTTATTTGATATGTCACAAGGGGTACCTTGCTATTTAAAAAAATTAAGTTGGGGGCAGGGGGGAAAGGGGGGGAATGTGAATGTAACGTTGAATTCAAAACAATTGGTCCCCCTACGTCAATAGATGATTCCCGCAAACTGCATATTTCTATCTATTGCGGTTTTTACATAAATAAAGATGCAAGTTTTTAAAAAAACACCCTGTATAATGTGAAATGCTTGTGATTAAGGTTCTAAATATAGAGCTGCTTTAAATAAGGAAAATAAAATTTTGGAATTTTTTATCCGTTCAAAAGCTGGGATTTTTTAGTTGTTACCTAGATTAAGAATAGGGTGTGGTGCGACTTTTTTTCGTTTCGATTCCTTGTTTTATATATTTGTTGTTTCTAAACATTATTACCAACCTAAACTTCCGTGGGATACACTGTCTGTCGTCTTCAGAACCAAGAATATACTCGTAAAAACAATACAGTCCGGTTCGCTCTAAGATAGTGCCGATCGACACACTTACATTAGTTTTAACATTCATTCATGGTGATATAATAATACTAAATTGTAAATGTTTGATTTGTAGAGAGATTAGGCCAGGAAGTAAATCAACCATTTAGATATACAGTAATAGTAATTTAGGCACAACTCAATTTCTTTATAACATTACAACTTTATATGTATGAGGAATTCGCCTACAAACTTATCAATGCAGAAGAGATCCGCTATCGTTCTGGAATAGAAGTATGAATTTCGTATTTTGTCAAGCTCAAAATTCCAGTTGTATTAGATTGTTCCTCAAAATTTCTTCGAGTCGTATGAATTTCATATTTTGTCAATCTCAATATTCCAGTTATATTTGATTGTTTCTCAAATGTCTCTGGGTTCAATAACTATCCTAATGCTGAGTACTCTTTACATTATATAGATTTAATCGCAAAAAGATTTCGATGGTAAGGAAAAATCACACTAATCCGGTCTCATTTTATTTCCAGCAAAGGAAAAAAGACTGTTATAATAGCACGGGTAATTCAACAGTATAATGTATATTTGTGCAGGATGAAACTCATATCAATACTAAAGCTTTTGCGTGTCAATCTATTGATGTCAATAAACTGCTACTGACACGGCAACGGCTTTGTCAAATGCGCGAAGTCATTACTAATTCATCTGTCCTTTTGTCAAATTTAACGATTTGCGCAAAAGAGACAAACGTAATCTGGAGTTCAACATACTAGGAGGGGGATTTATCCCTTTTATAAGTTTATAATCTCGATCGATTATCAGGAGAACGCATTTAGGGTTGGTTGGATCGTGTTACGTGTCGGGGGTTTTGTTACAGTATTTGGTATTAGGTTGTTAATAAACGTTAACACTAATTTATATCAATGTAACAGTTTATTATAAAATAGAGAAGATTATGGACCATAAACAAACAAAAGACCCAAAAATAAACATGTTTTATTATTATTTCAATGCAACTGTCAAAAAATATCAAAAATTATACAGATTATTAGTATTAGATTCCATCCAGTGACGTCATTCGGTTTTATGCGTATCGTTTCTGTTCTAATATCCGTGGACGATTTCATTGTTGTGACGTTCCGCGATCCAATGACTAAGTCGCAACCAGAGAACACACAATATTCGCAAATCGCAACAATGCTGGTCAACAGCTGAGATATTAAATATTATCACGAGTTTGTTAGTGAACTTTACTGTAGATATTTTCAATATTGATTGTTCGTCTTCATGGAAAGGATTGTTGATTAAATTGAGAATTAAGAGGAAACGTTTACCGATGAAAAAATGGCTTTTCAACTTAATTAAACGTGACAAAATTGAAAATGGAGTTGATTTACACGTAAAAGAAATGAGGTATATTTTTGTACGTTAACTAGAGATCCAAATTAATAGCTTAAAAAAGGCATGGTTAGTTAATGGACTTGTACAGTGAGCTTTGATACACTCCATCTGTTTGGACCAGCTGATTATTTTTTAAGAAGCCATTCAGTAGAGACTAAACATCAAACTCAAATTATTTTCTGATGAATTTAATAATGTTAGTTTTTACAGACTGCTCTACAGCTTAAGCCTTATTTAATCTTATTGCCAACGATTCAAGCTATAAAAATTAATGAAGTGGTATTGGATCTTTTCTAGGTGGTGCAAGAGTACGAGAGGGCGGTGATATTCAGACTCGGCAGACTAGTCTCCGGAGGTGCCAAAGGCCCAGGTATTACATTTTTATTTTTATTTCCTTTAAATACTTAATACTTATTGTAATACATATAATAGTAAAGTACGGAAAAAATGAAGAATATTGCTTTAAATTTTATTGGGGCTTGGCATCATGAAACAAGTTAACGATTTAGGTCATGCTAAGATTTTAACGTTTTCTTTACTCTTCGAAAGCGTGTTAGTATGGTTGGTGTAACGCTTATTAAAGAGAGTAATATAGATTTAACCAGAATTATTTTGTCACAACAATAAATATACGTATATTGGTGGCTGATTGGTTATGGGTTTTGTGTAACTGTCAGTAGGTCATATATTTTTTTTACTTTTTTCGTACCCCCAAAGGGATACAGTAGATTTTTAATGGTTTAAAAGTTAACCCAGTTGTCTTTAATAATTGGACTTAAAATAATTGGCCCTAGCCACCAAAGAAATGGCTGGCATTAGTATTTCTTAGTTGGAAAATCACGGTGTATTTTAATTGAGTTTAAAATAAGTGCACAAGGTACGTCACGGTCTTGATAAGTAAATAAAACTATACTTTTTGTTTGTCTATAAAACACTAGTTGCGTATCATAAATTATCTCAAGCAAAGAAGCCATTAATTATTTGTCTTGCTAATTACATAAATCTTTGCATAAGCCGATGGGTCTATTGAACATCTGTGGTTCGCAATTGGTTAGTCGAGTTCTCCACACGAAAACAAAATGCTCTTTTATCGTTTTATCCACATAATACGTACAGTTTCAGGACATTTCGTGTTCTACTCAGTTCTTCCCCTAATTTATTAGTTAAAATTTATGTAGAAATTGACCATTCAAATTAATTAATATGATGCCAGTTCAGTAAAACAATAATGTAAATATTTATCCATAAAATGTTTGTCATATCTTCTTCAAACTTGCAAACTCTTCATTCTTCTCAAGGTTTAAGTAAAATTATTGTGTCAAATATATATGTTTACGGTATCAAGCATGTCTTTATACTTATCTAAGAGTTAGTTTTGCAGTGCAGTATAGACATTTGATGACACAAGATGAGAAGGTAGATAGTTTTAATATGGAATCATGAACATCAATGGAGCAAACCACAATGAATTAGTGTAGACCACCATAGTGTAGTGTATGTCACCACCTCACCAAAGAGTTTACTTGGTTTTGTGTGCCACCTGTAGTTAAGCTCTAGAAACTCAGGTTTCAAAAGAATAATATTTCATTACATTAAAACAAACAAGTTATTTCACTCTTACTACGTTTATATTTGAATAACCAAGTAATAATTTTATGTATAGAAGTTTCCATTGAACAAGTGAAACATGTCATGTTAAAGGACTAAATTAATACTTCAAATTGCTTGTTTTGAAATTGATCAAATAACTGGGTTTTAAAGCTGAAATCGGAAAGTACCAAGTAAATTAGTAAATTGAAAGAAAGTGGTGCGATGATATATAATATAGGTTAAAACGAGTTTTTAGTTTGAGGAATGCATTTATTTCAGGGTAGGAATAAAAGCACTGTGCATACACATACAGTAAGATACACACTGTGGCCACATAAATCGCACATAGTCGCTTTAAGTTATGTTAGATTACTAATTTACCTTTAGGCAGTTAAGAGATAAAATCAAATTAGGAATCTTGTCAACTTTGGAGCCGTCTCAAACACATGTTTACAAGCGTTAGAAAAGCAATCAACACAAGTTAAACTAGTGCAAGATCCAATAATGGGTCTCTCTTTGGCAGACAGTCAGTAATTGCTTCCAAGAAACCTAATTTGATAAAAGACTTTTGTAGTTTTCGATCCATTTGGCGCAGTTTCAAAGATAAGTCGTTAAATCTTAAACAAAGTAGATTTTGTTTGTCTTTGTTTTTGGCATCCTAAAATGAAAGGCATCTTAGTTGACCAAAGTGTTGGACAAAAAATTGTATTTTGTAGACCACAGAATTTTTTTGTAGACCTCTGTATTTCCGTTTTCATTAATTAAATGAGTGATGCCTGATAATTTGTATACACAAGTTACTATGAGAAGTGGACCTTTTAAAATTAGAGTCGTAAATACTACATTGCACTCTAATTATATTACACATATACAACCACCAGATACCTTATAAACAATTCACATGCTAGATGTATACTCATTGTCATCTGGGTTGGACATTTTTGTTTAACATTCAATAGAATGGCGACCTTTCGGAGAAGAACCAGTCCTCCATCATCAAGGACACTCCGAAGCGTCGACATTCAAATACAGATTTACAACTTATGGTCTAATTCTTAAGACAACGAGTATTCACCTCAGCAGAGTGGCAATGAAAGTCTGCAAAGTTTAACCATTAACTGTCCAATAAATTCAGAAAGGTATCATGGTTTTCACTCAAGTTCAAGCGAGTGAACGTACAATTTCTACAGGTATAATGTTCGTGCTACCATGTGTAGACCAATACGCCAAGATCGACATTCGAACAGCTGTGTTTGACATTCCTCCCCAAGAGGCAAGTAGTAGACCCCTAGCCAGTAGGGCGTCCTATTTACTCAGTCCTGCCTGGAGTAGACCTAGATAATTGAATACAGACATAGAAATGTAACAAAAACAACAAAAGAGTATCAATTTCGTCACTGTTAAAGATAAAATTATATAAGTAAATCATACAAACTGATAAAACACAATATTTTAAATATACTAAACCCTAATACATATCAAAATCCAACAAAAATGTATTAAATGTCGTATAGGGTTTTCCGGAACTACTTACGTAGTCCCTTTGGTGGGTTTGTTACTTATATCGAGATAAACATACTGTGAAATCTAAGTAAGGTAGGTATTAGGAAATTTTGTAGTTGTCTATCTGTGTGTTGGTACAACACAATATTAATAATTAAAATTATTAATAATCTAAGGCCCTTTTGAGCTAAAAACTTAGGACGAATACTAAGAAAGCTGAAAACCACGATTTAATAAACATTCACGTGTTAACATAGGAGATCTTTTAAAATTCCAAAATAAAATATTAACAGAAAATAATGTCCCATTATATTAATATTTAATATGAAACCCCTGTAAGTTATTTTACTTATTTTCATTTTGTATGACCGATTTTTGGATATTTAAGTTTGAAAGTATAAAAGATCAAGAATTTTGAAACGGTGGAAGCTAAAAACGTGTCATTCGATACGTCAGGTCCTATAACATAATTAGCAGTCGTAGTGAGTTTCTTCTTATTATTTTTTACAGTTAGGAATACACCACTTTAAAAACTCAGGTAGACGACAACGCGTTTTCGACCGCTATATTGTAAAATATGTTTTCGTGGAGACAATCGACAAATCCAAAGGGGTCCGGGGGAAACCCTGCATAGTAACACATATTTTATTTAATAATCCATCTATTAAATAAAAATGATTAAGTAGGCACTGTTTGTGTGTGCAGGGATATTCTTTATCTTGCCGTGCATCGACAACTACGCCAGAGTCGATTTACGCACGCGCACCTATGACGTGCCACCGCAGGAGGTAAGGATTTTGCACTATTTACGTGTTAAGACATTAGTACTCCATTCGGTTGAAATTTCGATTTGCCAACCAAAATTATTTAGATAGAAAGGATAAAAATGAATGCATATAAATATAATAAAACAAATTATGAATGAAATGAAGATTTTTATGTTTGTATTCAGTTATTACCCATGCATATTCGATCCTGTGCATGATTTTGTGATGAGCATGCAGCATGTTTGAGGGACAACCTTTGGGAAGTGCCAATTAACTCATTTAGCAATACTATTGACTTACCACTCATTGAGTTAATTCTCTAACTAGACGTTCTTTTGCACATAACTAGACGTCGTCTTGCCTAACTCTCTTGCAAAGTGATATGGCTTTTCTTTTAATTTCAATTTTTCCTTTCTCATATTTTATAAATTTTTGTTATGTCAGTAGTGGACTATTGTTTCTGATATTGATAAAAAGAAGTTATGCAGGTAAAGAGAATTCAGTAAAAGATAGGCTAATATTTTTTCTCGGAAAACCTTGAAAAATTCATGAACAAACTACAGTTATATTGTCGAATCGTTCTTTTAGCCAGATTGAAAGCATTCACACATGAACCCTTCTATAATAATTTTAGTTTTGTTGAACATCGTTAGTTGTATTTTTTCATTAATACATCTTAACAAATGGTAAATACATATGACCATTTGGATTTTAACCTTCAATATTCAATACTTCAATTCTGTTCTTTGGCTTAAAATGCATGAATTGCCTTATTCTATTTTACAATCTTCGTTGTAACATGCAGTTTCAGCTGCACTTTAATCCCCAGAAAATGCATAGCCTTATACCAGCTTGGTTAGGCTGTAACTAAGAACGCTGCCATGCTTCCTTATTGTGACTTTTATATTAATTTGTTTTGAAACAGTTTAGGCTATTTACTAACCTTCCGATATAGTTTTCAGATGCTCTATAATTTTATTTTAATATTGAGGAAGATTACTTAACCAATGTATTACACTATTTTCAGATGTTGAACACCATCAATGGGATGTGTGATTTAAAAACCAAGAATCAGGACCTGAACCCTTTTCTCTGTTTATTATGCTATCAGAACTCCCATAATTGATAGACCACAGTTTCATTTGTGGTGCTAGGATCCATATTTAAGGGTTGCTTGCTTGATTCCAACAATTCATTTTTCATCGAACTATTGCTAGAGATGCTAACAAAATACATGCATTAGATCCGTTCAATGATGAAGATATCAGGGTTTTAGGTGTGTACGTTTCCAAATTCTACAATTGCCAATAGCGTCAGAACCAAATGTATAATGGTGAGTCGATGAATCAGTAGTTAAGTAACAAACAATTCACCTAAAGCAGGGAATATACTTGGTTTACATACCAGTGTTAACAATTGCTTTGCTTGAAACATTTCAAGCGATCTGGAGGCATGTGGACGGGCAAACTCTTGTTTTGAAAAAAGGCCCTTGACATTCATAAGGGGTACCGAAAACGGTGAAATAATTTTGAAAACAGTAAACAAGTAAGGTACTGAAGAGGAGGGGTGGAACTTGTTATCAGCCACTAAACAGGGTAGCTTATTTTTTCACTGTTGTTACCCAGGTGCTGACCAAAGACAGTGTGACCGTCTCAGTGGACGCTGTGGTCTACTACAGAGTGTCAAATGCTACTATCTCAGTGGCCAACGTGGCCAATGCCCATCACTCCACGAGACTGCTAGCACAGACCACGCTGAGGAATGTGCTGGGTACCAGGCCACTCCATGAGATACTGAGTGACCGGGAGGCCATTTCCAACACCATGCAGGTTAGTGGAAACTTTGCCAACTATTCGTGGACAAAGCACTCGTACCTTGATACGTAAGAAGTTGAGGTAGCGATGACAGTATGTAAAGGTCCTCATTACAATAGACTGTTGATTAGAGATGTTGATCATCGATAGTCTTAAAATGTCCCGTGACTAAATTGATGGAACCGATGTCATGTCAAATGTAAACACATTAGTAGTGGTGTGATATAATCACGTTTTAACGCATTTTAACCATATTCCGCACGAATAAAACGTGCAGCGAAATATGCGGTCAAGGTGAAACAGTGGTATTTAACAAAGGGTAAGTGGTAAACATTATAAACGAAAAATGCGTACAAATGAGCACCACCCCAGCCATCCACCCCTAACATAACAATAACATTTGTAGGCTCTTGCCTACATCCAAAAAATGTATTAGCCTAGATTAGACCTAATAATCAAATATGGTCATTTTGGCAATATATGGTAATATAAAAAAAATTCTAAAAGTTAAAAATAAACAAAAAAATTCCAAAGCTTCACGCTGCGAAACACGCCTAAACAATAGTGCAGCATACCTCTATCATTTTGCCACAGTCCACACCCTGGGAAAAGTGTGATGGAAATCAGGTTAAATGTATAAACTGTTAAAGAATCTCCAACAACGAAAAACTAAGTGAAATTTATATTTAGTTTAGAGTTACACTCATGTTGTTCAATGGTTTTAAAAAGATGTAGAATTTACCCTAAAGATCATGGTGGAAAAAGGTTGTACGCATTTTTCGCCTGTCTAAATTTCTTGACGTCATAGCTTACCCTCGTCATCTGTCAAATCTTGATCCTGTGCGCTTATTTGAAAGAGCCTACGCTTTTTTCGCTGAACAATTTTTATATTCAAAGGATGCATCTTGAAAAAAAAACCATTAAACTCAAACTACTAAGTAAAGTTTTCTTTTATTTCTATCTTAACTGTTTTGTTCTGATACTTTTATTTATCATCTGGGAATAACACAATCAATGTCTCTGGATATATCTAAGTGATTTTGAGCTCTAGTTCACTTCAACTGCTTCTCATTGTTTCAAAATCAAGGCTTCGTATATACATTTCAAATTGAGCCTTAAATGCAAATTTTAAAATTAATTTCTTTTTAATATTGAACCACTTTTTGTAGATAGATATTTCAAACATTTTTACTTATAACACATTTCATGCTTATAAAAGCAAAACAAATAATAAAACGCATACAACCAATGAAAAGTGAGATACGAAGCATATAATGCTGAAAACAAGTGGTCCATGTTTACCGATCAAAGTGACTATTTCACTGCGAGGAAGCTTTCTACAATGTACTTCATCTGCAAATGGGACGTTTTCAAAGCTGTTTATTTCCTGCGTGAAAAGACAACTCTGTTTGCAGTTGTAAAGGTGTAATGATTAAGTTACGCGACTACGTTTGTGAAAGAAAACTTCGTCCTCCTTTATTTTATATGATAGTTGGTAAAACAAAATGCATGTTATTCCGTAATGAAAGGATTTATATTAATTTGAAACTTTGACACGCCTGTATGTAGAGGGGGGCTTAAAGTTGGTTTTGTCATACTGTACTACACATAACATACAATAACAATTTAATAATTTATTTTATAACTATTCTGACTAAAATAAACTCTAGTTCAGAAACCTTCTTACAATAATGATAGCATTGATAGATATAGTTTTATATTAAGCCAATTAAGCAAGATAGAGTGGTTTGAAAAGGTAAACACTAAATTTTAATAAAAATTCCTTAACTTGAAAACTATCCCTTGAAAAATGAGGCACACAGACCTTTAAGTTTTCAACCATCCGAAACAATAAATACTGAGGTGATTCAAGCCGCTAACTGGAGCTTGACTTCATGAAAGTCGAAGATTTACTGGCTTTGAAAAACTCTGCTTTATTACAATAGGTGTATGGTAAATGGAATTGTTTTATAACATTATTTTAAAAACACTTCGATCTAGAAACCTTGATTTATAAAACAAAACTTGTATACATGAAAAACTAAATTATGTCTTTAAAAAGTGATAGTATTATTTGTGAAATAACTCATGTTATACTGTGAACTATACATTCACAATGTCCAACAGAAACCAAAATCATTAAATCAAATATTTTTGTATACAAGGAAATAATCAATGTTTTTGCTATATTGAAATAAAAAATATATACTTTAATTATAGTCACAATGACGGAAAAAATCTTACTCTATGATTAATAAATAAATCTAAAAAAGTGATTTATTTTTGGATGCTGGTGCAGTATCCAGGGAAGCAAATCATACAAATTTTGATTTCAATGATTTAAAATATACATAATGTTGTGTTCTTATTTGTTTAAGATTTTGTTATCTAGTAGAACAAACGGAAATAACAATATCGCATAATCCAAGCAATTCATAATGGAACAATTTATTTATTAATGAGATTTAGTATAGCGCTTTAAATTGATATTCTAATTTCAGACATCTTTGGATGATGCTACAGAAGCCTGGGGCATCAAAGTCGAGCGGGTAGAAATGTAAGTCTGTTATAATTATGATGTCAAAGATGCATTGGAAACTTTTTATAGAAACTAAAAGCTCTTTATTAAAAGTTAGTTCACCTTATGCAATTTTTTTATTCAGCAAATCTATCCCGTTGGTATCTTTGTAGTTTTCAAAGTTCTCGTATTAACGCAAGTGAGTTTCTAATGTATAAAATCAAGTTAGGCCATTCGAATTGGTAAATATTTGTAAAAAGTAAGCAACAGAAAAGTTGATACTTTTTTGGATCACTTCAATATTGAAAGTTATTTCGATAAGCTAATGTAATAATCTCAATTCTGTCAATAATTATTCGTTACAGTGATTTGTTTGGATACAGTTCAACACTTTTTCAATCCTGTTGCTGATTTTTCCTCTAATAAACAAGCATAATTTAACAGTTATGAATCAAACAGATTTTTTTCCAGTAGATGAACATGAAAAAATTTTCCCCATATTAATAATATTTTTTAGCATTAGTCAAGTTAAGAGTCCTTGGAGCCTTGACGTTCTTACTTGTAAAATAATTAAAAAAAACTACAAAGAAAATTTCTAATTTCACAGTTTAGGCTACTAGATATTTAAATTACAATCACTCTGATGTTTGGACAAATATTTTGAGATGGTAAGTAACTTCAGTAGCTGTTTGAATTCATCCGAAATGGCCGCTAGCCTCCAAGGACTGAAATTGTTTGAATGTTTCAGAAAGGACGTGAGGCTACCAGTTCAGCTCCAGAGGGCGATGGCGGCGGAAGCTGAGGCTGCTAGGGAGGCTAGAGCAAAGGTAGGGTAAATCTTGGCCCCTGAAAACATAAACCAGTCAATTTTAGCTAATAAAGATTCAGAATTATAAAATCTCTTAGTACTAATTTAATTAAAGTAACTTAATTCAATTGACCGCCGGTCATCTTGGATTTTTGGTCGTGGTTGTTCGTGTACATAGAATAAAATTATGACCAAATAAGTAATAGAAAAGTATTTTAATAAGAGTTAAATTGTGTGTACATTCCTGTAGAAAAACAAAGATCAGACTAACTTAATGCGTTGCTATGACAACGTCATCAGCTGACGCTACACCAGCCCCCCACGGAGAAAAGGAATCTATACATCATTTTGAAAAGTAACCCGTGGTCGGATTTGTCTTCCAGAACGAGTTGTATAAGAATTCGTAGATGGAGTTTGACAAGATGGTGGTAGTTTTGAGGATTCCTCTGCTTGTCCAGTCGGCACCAAACGTTTCGTGAGCTCAGGAATAGGACTTTCATCTGCAATAATATAGGCTGGCTTGACCCTGTCCAAAGATACCTTAGTTTCTTGGCCTCTTACAATGATGGTAATTGTCTTTTCGTCACGGCATATGACCTTGTAAGGACCAGAATATGGAGCCTGTAAAGATTTTCTTAAGCTGTCTTGTCGGAGGAATACAAAGTCACAAGTATTGACTTTCTTGAACACAAACGACCCTGGTTTAATGTGGCGTGATGCGGGTGTAGGTCTTAGTCGATTCATATGCTTACGCAGCCCTGATACCAATTCTTGTGGCTCGTTGCTCTCGTGGGAAGGTATTACGAAAAACTCTCCCGGAAGACGCAGTGGTTCTCCGTACACCAGTTCAGCTGATGAAGCAGTGATGTCCTCCTTGAAGGCAGATCTTATTCCGAGAAGGACAAACGGCAGTACTTCGGTCCAGTCTGATTTGCTGTGAGCCATTATAGCAGCTTTCAACTGGCGGTGGAGTCTTTCAATCATACCGTTGGCTTGTGGATGCCAGCTGGTAGTGAACTGGAGCTTTATGCCCAACTGTCGTGCTAGGTCTTTAAACAAAGTCGATGTGAACTGGGATCCGCGATCACATGTCAACTTTTGTGGGCATCCAAATCGAGCTATCCAAGTAGAGACAAACGCTCCAGTAACAGATTCGGCAGTTATTTGATCAATAGGACAAATTTCAGGCCAACGAGTAAATCTATCTATGATAGTTAGACAGTACCTAGAAGATTTTGATAAGGGAAGTGGGCCAATTAGGTCAATGTGGACATGAGAAAAACGTTCTGTAGGTGTATGAAAATCACCAAGGGGAGTAGAAACATGTCTAGTTATCTTAGATCTTTGGCATGAGAGGCAAGATTGAGTCCATTTGTGGCAATCCTTACGAATGGAAGGCCAGACAAAACGATCGCAGATAAGTTTTGTTGTGGCACGTATTCCAGGATGACTCAGCTTGTGGAACTGGTCGAAAACTCTACGTCGCAGTTCTGATGGCACAAAGGGTCTAGGAGTTCCTGTTGAGGTGTCACAGATAAGGCTCAAATGGGTTCCAGGAATCGGAACTTTCTCCAATCTAAGAGATGTAGTACTTTCTGAAATGAGATTTTGAAGTTCTTCGTCTGACTCTTGTGACTTGGCTAAGGATTCATGATCTAAAACAGTTGAAATGGCTTCAACACGTGACAAAGCATCAGCAACTATATTTTGTGAACCACTGATGTGCTTTATGTCTGTCGAAAACTCAGAGATAAATGAAAGTTGGCGTAACTGAGCTGGAGGCAACTTGTCACGGCGCTGTTGAAAGGCATAAATAAGTGGTTTATGATCTGTGAATATAGTGAAAGAAGTTGTTTCCAAGAGATGACGGAAATGCTGCACAGCTTCATAAATAGTGAGGAGTTCTCTGTAGTATGCAGGCCAGATGCACTGTTTGGATGATAGTTTCTTGGAGAAAAAACCTAGTGGTTGCCAAGAGTCATCGACAAACTGTTGGAGGCAAGCACCTACACTTACTCCAGAGGCGTCTGTAAAGAGACCAAGAGGAGCATCAGGTTTAGGATGAAACAATAGTGTTGCTGATGATAAGCTAGCCTTGCATGCTTGGAAAGCTTCTTCTGTCTCTGGAGTCCAGGGCACAGGGAGGGAACCTTTTGAATCAGCGTCACTAAGTAGGGAGTGCAGAGGTGCTTGAAATTCAGCGGCCTTTGGCAGAAACCTACGATAAAAGTTCATAATTCCCAAGAATCTGCGAAGACCACGCATTGTCTGAGGTAACTGGTAGTCTTGTAGAGCAGTGACTCTCTCCTGAGGTGGACGTGTCCCAGCAGATGAGACTAAGTAACCTAAAAATTTAACTTCTGGTACACCAATTACACATTTAGATGGATTTACAACTACTCCATAGTCAGAAAGTCGTTCAAACAACATTCTTAGGTGTTCTTTATGTATTTCTTCAGACTGGGAAAATACTAAAATGTCGTCAATATATGCATAACAAAAATCAAGGCCGTGAATAACTTCATCTATGAATCTTTGAAATGTTTGACCCGCGTTGCGTAAGCCAAAAGTCATGAATGGAAATTCAAACAAACCAAATGGAGTGGTGATTGCTGTTTTTTGGATGTCATCTTCGTGGACGGGAATTTGGTGGTAAGCCTTGGTCAAATCAATGGCAGAGAAATGCGTACAGCCTGCTAAATTGAACGAGAAATCCTGAATATGTGGTACAGGGTATCTGTCAGGAACAGTACGAGCATTTAAAGCGCGGTAATCACCGCAAGGACGCCATCCATTTTCACCTTTAGGCACCATGTGCAAAGGTGAGGACCAGGGGCTTTCAGAGGGTCGAGCAATACCAAGCTTAACCATCTCCTCAAATTCTTTCCGGGCAGCTTTCAATTTTTGAGGATGTAAGCGACGTGGTCGACAGTGAACAGGAGGACCAGGTGTAACATTTATATGATGAACTGTTTTATGTTTCACAGCACGAGGTAAGCCTGGAGGACGAATAATATCAGGGAATTCAGAAAAAACTTCTGCCAATGGCGAAGAGAAAGATATAACTTTAATACTAGTTTGATTGTTGTTAGAAACTATTCCCTCGGCATTCAATCCCGTTTTCTTGTCAACCAAAAATTTCATTTTGCAATCGGGTAATAAGTGATAGTGTGAAAGGAAGTCTGAACCTAATATAGGTATTGAAACATCCGCTACCACTAGACTCCAGGGAAATTACGTCTAAGGCCTAAATTAAGGGTGAGAGGCATGGTACCATAAGTCTTTATTTCACTGTTATTGGCAGCACTTAGTGAATAGCTAGTAGGAAAACGTTTATATTTGATAAGGCGTTTAGGAAAACACGACACATCAGACCCGGTGTCGATAAGGAACCTAGTTCGTGAATTTCTGTCCATCACAAAGAGACGGCCGCCAGCATTTGAACAATCCGTTGCGGCCTCTACGGATTGTTGCTGAGGTTTCCCTGAAAAGAGCACGGAGAAAGACATTTGGTAGCATTGTTTTTGAATTTTCTATGGTACCAGCACCAGTTCTTAGAGGGATTAGGTTCGTTTCCTGATCCACCACGAGACTGGGAACGACCCCTAGGTCTCACCTGTGTATCTCGTACTCTGGTTTCTGATAATGCTTGAACTTGTTTAGAGAGGGATTCTATTGCATTTAATAAAGAAGTGTTACCTGAAGAGACTTCACAAATACCAGTTGTTGAAGGAATGTCAGCTACCTCCATGATCTTATCAGCCAGTTCTGCCAGTTTGTCCAAGGAGAGCTCAAGTTGCGTAGTCAATATGGCTTGTGAATGAGGAGGGAGTCGTCTGAGCCACAGTTGACGAAGCATGTTGTCTTGAAGGGGAGTCGAGCCCGCAAGAGACCTAAGATGCCTCAAAAACTGAGAAGGCTTGCGGTCTCCAAGGTCCTCTTCACTCAGCAGCCGCCGCACACGTTGCTCTTCGGATGCAGAGAGGCGTTCAATCAGTTTCTTTTTTAGATGTCCGTATTTGTCGCCTTGAGGAGGGTTTGTTATGATGTCTTCGACTTCAGCAGCAATTCCTGTGTCCAATTGCGAGACCACGTAGTGAAACTTGGTGTCGTCGTTGGTAATTCCAGATATAAGAAATTGCGAGTCAACTTGACAGAACCACAGACTTGGTCTTTCAGGCCAAAAGGGCGGAAGTTTGACGGCTACTCTGTTCACCGACATGTTTTGAGAAGTGCTGGGTTGTCCAATCCGTTGACGCAGTTCTTCATTCGCAGTTCTAAGTTCGGCGAGTTGAGTCTGCAGGTCTTCTAATGACATCGTTCGAAGGAGGAAACACAAAAGATTTAAACTCTTCAAAGAAAATAAGTCTTTAGATAACGGTTGTAGTCGGGGTCACCATTTTGGTCGTGGTTGTTCGTGTACATAGAATAAAATTATGACCAAATAAGTAATAGAAAAGTATTTTAATAAGAGTTAAATTGTGTGTACATTCCTGTAGAAAAACAAAGATCAGACTAACTTAATGCGTTGCTATGACAACGTCATCAGCTGACGCTACAGATTTTCTACCCATAATGGCAATGGTTGAAGCATATAACGGCATTGTTTATTAAGATAAATAGTAGAAAAATATATAATTTTAAAGATACAGCATTGAACCTGCAGATGCGATTTGTTATCTACTTTAATTTTAATTGTTATTATTTTGTCAAACTATATAAATATATTGACTTAAAATATGATTTGTTCAACCTCTAAAACAAAAGTTTTATCAATCCGAAAAACAATTCACACGGAAAATATAGAATCACATAAGACTTTCTGCTCGATAATCAAGCTTACGGTGCATGATTAATATGCTTGAACGTGAACGCATGCTTTTGCTGATCAGCGCTAGGACAACCATTGTTTAGGCTGGCATCTGACGGTCAACAACAATGCAAAATTATTGACTCCTGCTGACTCTTAAGCGGATTTCATATAGGGAATAAGTTATAACCGTTGGCGTTCCCAAAGGTCAGAAACACAATCTTTTTTTAAATGTTTACATATATGTGCATAATATGCGTCCGTTAACATGATAACTAGAGTCATATTGGTCACAGTTTTATGAATTTGAGGAGATTGATTTGATGTAAGGATCTGGATAAACTTGAATAAGTTCGCGAACCAGTAAGATCGGTTTATGTGAATGTGGTGTTGTGGGGTATTGAAGTTTTTCATTTGTTTTCTCAATTAGTTTTTTTTTCATATTGTTTTCCTTAAAACATGGAACTTACTTATTCCCATTAAAGCCATCATGTAGATCCTAAAAAATAATTTTATTAAATATTATGGAGAAAATTTCAAAGAAAATTGTACATTTAAAATTCCTATTTAAAATGTTAAAATTGTAAAATGTTAAATTGTAAATTGTAAAATGTATACATTTAAAATGTTATTCTTATGAAAGAAAAGAAAACGGTTTTAGTTTGCCTATTTATCAGTATATCTTGATCAAATTTTGCAAAATTTATTGATTTCATCAAATGCTATTAACAATTGACCAAAGCACACATTTTCCTATCCCCGCAGCAGCAAATTTAAGTACTCAAATCTAATTTTATTTAAATAGGAATTAGGTGAGACTTGTTCATGGGAATATTTGGGTTAAAGTATAATTAGACGAATTCAAATTTTGTTTCGTCTGCAGGTTTACTGGGGCAGGGTTATTATTTAAGTGACCATAGTGTCAGTTCATTTAAAATTCCTAATATTTGTTATACATTTTAATTTCAATATATAATATATATTTAAATTATTTTTAGATTGATTTTTAAGATAAAAATTAAGGAATTAAAAAAGGGCCTACATTAAGGAAATGCTGCTTTTATGAAACCAGCATGGTTATTGTTTGCCTCAACTGCACCTTGAAAGAGATTACACACGAGAAGAATAAACAAATTTATTGTTAGCTTACAATGAATATTTAATAAAGAATCTTAACGTTTATTGAATTACAATTTAATTAACATATAACACTGTTTTACAATAGAAACCCCGTTTCATTAATGAGGTATAATGTGGTTTTGAATGTCAAAATCCTAATACCACTGAAGTCTGTAGCTAAGTGCTATCTTAGGATGATAAATTGATCCCCATCGTCTCAGGTTCCGGCCACTTACACTCCCAGTCTGTCCATGTGATCAATACAGTAGCGGCACTCTCCTAGTTCTACGGTAATGAACAGGATGCAAGGAATGAAAATCCTTTATTTCACTTACGTTGCAGGTGATAGCTGCAGAAGGAGAGCAGAAGGCATCCAGAGCGCTCCGAGAAGCGTCTGAAGTAATAGGAGATTCGCCTGCAGCTCTTCAGCTGAGATATCTCCAGGTACATGGAGCGTTGTCTTTGCATGAAATCTCACATACTCTCTTCTGCACCGCACTATTTAATTAGACAACCTATCACTAACGTTTCTTGCACTATAAAAATAAAATGTCACAATTTTAGGTTTTTAATTTCAACTAGCTTGCCGGTTGTTTCTGATTCACAAGTTTAAAGTCTTGCGAACTAAATAAATGTGTTTCACAGTAAACATTTTCAGTAAAACCTAAATATTTTCACCGTAATCACTAACGTAAGAAAATTTTGCTGCACTTGTACAACAACTTGTTTTAAAGAGAAATATTTACGCACGTGTTTCACGCAGGCTGTTCACACGTATTTAGTAGGCTGTTCAAATTCTCACTCATACTTAAAACTCGCAGATGAGACCTTTTAATATTTAAGAATAGGTAATCCAATCTATAAACCATCAAAAACTCCATTGCATCCGGTGCCAAAGTATGCTTAAACTTGTTTATAAAACCAAAAATACTTTAGCCCCATAATTTATCTCTAAACAAATTAAAAGTATCCAAATTTAAAACTAAAGATCGTCAAAAATGATAGGAGGACAAACGTAATCATAACCTCTTAGATCTAGCTCAGAAGACCCAAGTAGACCCTGTAGACCCCTTTTCGCACTCTAGTAAAGCGAAGTGGTTTTTGTTGCAGACCTTGAAGTCAATTTCTGCCTACAACTCCACCATTATCTTCCCTCTACCGTTAGATATCGTTTCCTACTTCGGCAAGGCCGTGGAGGCAATGGAGTCAAATCACCCCACAACCTCCACTTCCACTTCCACAATTCGCCTTCACTCTTCCTAAACAAGACTATTCTGTTACAGACACTCAATACCATCTCCGCCGAGAAGAACTCGACTATTGTGTTCCCTTTGCCCATAGACTTGCTTACATACTTCATGAGGGCCAAGGAACATAGAGAGAAAGCCTCTCAGGCCTAAGGCCATCTACTAAAACTCTTGTCTACTTTACAATCAATTATATTGCAAAGCCATCTTTAATACAATCAAGTGAGCGAGGTTAGCTGTAAGAGGAGTGTCTTAGTTTCAATCTTAAAATAAGCGTAATTCACGACGGTATTGAGTGATTGATTAAATAGCGGGACTTTGTGTCGTGTTTATTACATATTGTAAAAAGACGTTCACATGAGGAATAAATAGAGAAATATTTGTTTAACAAATTTCAATATTTATATAGTGTGTGAAATATGAACACTCAAATAGTTTTCAGGCCGTAACCACTAATTTATGTAGGGTCCAATTTACTCAATTAATCACAATTTCAAATTTATTGTGTGATACATGTTTTTTTTTATGAAAAAGGCAGATATAAATAAATATGCAGTATTTCAGTACTCATTAAAGATAAAATTGCTTTTTTTTTTACTAAACAAGTTGTGAATTCCGTTTTCTGTTATTCGATGAGTTTCTAATAATTTGGCAAACGTTGAAACTAAGACACCTTAAATAAATAGTGTGGTAAATAATTTAATAACAAGTATTTATTTACTGAGTAATAGATTAATATTGTATGATATTTTTAATTATCATGGGTTATATAATCAATAGCCCAGCCCGTAAGTAACACTGTTACTATAAAAACGTATGTTTTTCAATTAAAAATTTAAAGTTCGCAGATATTTTTGTATAACTCGGATGATTATCCCATCAATACGAACCAGCTGAACTTGCTATGATGATTAATTCCACTGTTTTAAATCTTTTAATGTAAGTTAAACAACATTACACACATTTGTACAACAGAAAGACGTATTAGTGGGAAGTACATCGATAAATTAAAATGGTTTTGTGTAATCTCAAATTGATAAATTAGGGTTTGTACATATTACAGACAATTTCTATGTGTGCCATAGTAACTGTTTTTATCTCAAGCACTCACAGTTGTTTTGTCAACTTTTACTGTGTTGGTAATTTTTATAGAGCACATTCGGATATACGTGTATGCTGTTGATTACTTTGGTAATTTACAAAGCTAGCTGTATGTATATATAACTATATTCAATTTAAAACTATCAATTTCAAATCTGCATCTACCTTAAAAATCAAGCCGTTAAGTATATTTGCATGAAAACAAATTAATTGTGAAAATTAATTAACAAATTACGCTCAAAGATTGAATAACTAACCTAGGCAAGGAAAAATATTTAGTTTACAATTGTAAACGACATGACATGATAAAGTGTTACCTTTTCTAAGTTCTATGAATATGCGTGGGTAATAGTATATTTCATCACTAGGGCCTACAGTGACTTTTTTCGCCCCGAGCTCAAGTTTTACGATTGGGGCGAAGCCGGGGTCTCAGAATGAGCGAGAGTTGGAAAGACACTTTATGCCCTTGTGATAAACTATATTTTTCGTCATATTGCACCAGAATTTAAACAAACTATGTTACAAAACTAAAACAGTTTTCGTTTGATAACCTCTTAAAACTAATTCTAGCTTGTTTTAAATTTACTTTGCTAATGAAAATAAGCAGCTGTTTGGTAAGTGATTCAACCATTTCGTCTATTTCGATTGTGTCAGTGTTTTACTGTTATACTATTGATATGTCGAACTATTTATGATAGGGCAACAATTAACTACAATCGATTAAACAATCAATAAATTTGCTCTCTTTTTCGATACATGCAATTGTTTACAATCGAAATTTACAACTCAGTTGACAACAGCTGATTTGTACTCCCGAGGGTTTAAAAACTCTTTTTACTCCCTAGAGAGCAAAAATCATACTTTAGTCCTTCAAGTCATGCACTAAAAACAGCTGTTTTTGCTGCAGTATGACGAAAATAATGGTTTTTTAAGTCTCTGTACAAAAATACTAAGATAAAGTACTGTTGGTTTATTACTCTACTGAATATATTTTACGGTTATACTCTATGGTGTTCTGATCTAAGATAGTTTGAATTATTTGTACAATGTACTAGCGGGGCTTGCCTGTGATATAAACATAACTTTAGTGTAGTGTTAGCATATGGCTGTAATATACAGATCTATTCTATGTTAATCGTTGTTTTTAAAAAAATTACCAATCACAATCATAACACATAACAATACAAATTGTGCTATGCGCTGTAGTTTGTAGTTCTCTATGTGTAATCGGACACGTGGCTACAAGTAAAGGGAATTAACTACGATATAGTAATAACCATTTGACAAAATAGTAAATAAGATGTAAAATAAATAAAAATAAAAAAAATAACTTTTGGTCCTCATAGTTTTTTAATCTTTTGCTATAGAATGTCAAAAGGTGTGTATGGCTGATTTATTGTTTAAAAAATTCCACAAATTTCTGTGTTATTTCGTGGCCCAAAATTTGAATAACTTTTATCAAAAAGTGGAAAAATAAACTAATGACATTTATTTTATATTTACTGCACTGTCATTTTTAATTATATAGGCCATTCGAAATTGTTTGAAACGCATATTTATGAATATTTGACTCAATTATTTAGTCTAAGTGCACTAGGAGTATTACTAAAATACTTATGGAGGACTGGCTGGGACGTAAAGCTACCAAATGTAAAAGTTAAACTCAATCTAAAGAAAAAAAAATATGTTTATGCAATAATTGTTTCTTTGTCACGTTTGCATTTAGGTTGGCTATACACATGGATCCAAATTATCTAAGTTTTACAGGAATGTAAAATATCTTAATTTTACAAAGGATGCAAATATATTTTCAAATTACTATACAGGGTGAGTTTTAAATGAGTTCCCCCCCCTACTTTTTTCTACATTTCTTAAGATATCAACTCCGGACTACGTCAGATCATTGTAGAGTAGTAAGTACTTCATTTTGACTGGGTTTAAATTTTTGGCCGCCATCTTGGATCCGCCATATTGGATAATTTTTTTTTTTTCAAATGTAAAGGTAGGGTTGTGACCCATCGTTTTAAACTATTTCTTTATGCTGAATGCGATGCTGCAATTCGTTTAAAACAAATCTTGACCCATTCTAAAGTTATGAGAACTTTTTATAACATTATTTTTAGCCCATTTTAACATTGTGCATTTAGAAACTAAGAACATAATCGCAAAATAGTGCTAGATAAAGATATGTATACACCACATAATATACATAAATCTTTACCTACCTTTACATTTGAAAAAAAAATTTTGTATCCAATATGGCGGATCCAAGATGGCGGCCAAAAATGTATACCCAGTCAAAATGAAGTACTTACTATTCCACAATGATCTGACGTAGTCCGGAGTTGATATCTTAAGAAATGTAAAAAAAAGTAGGGGGGAACTCATTTAAAACTCACCCTGTATAATATAAGGTATATACAAATTAACATAGGTCTTGTTATGATTTAAAACAACATATACAAAAATCCAAATTTTATGATCATTTTGCAATGGTTCAAAACTATAATCATCCGACTAACAATTTTTATTGTGATTTTGTGATCCGACAATTGAAGCAAAATTGAATTTTGATCTTATTTTTACGATTTATTATTTTAATAATTAGCATTTTCCATCTTGATGATATTATAGAGATTCGATACTATACGAGTAAGTAAAGTTGCGGTTGATTTATATAAAATATATCCCTAGAGCGATCAATGTTGACAAGTAACACCGGAAAATATCTGACACTCTCAGCCAGAGAGTCCTACTTTGTTAAATAGGGAACAAATGAAATATGACGAAATAGTCGTTCTTTGGTAACACACAGACAAAAATACACCGACTTGGTTAAGTGTAAGCATTGACTATACATAGTCAATGGTGTAAGAAAGGACCATGTGGCCCTAGCTTTTGCCTGTCTAAATGGATAATTTTTCATTTAATTTTCATTTCACACTCAAGACAATGGTTAAAATTGATTGTCATTCCATCATATTTTACATACATTATTACTGTTTTATAGAAGTTTACAGTATACCGGTACTTGAAAATATATCGCATATTCGGAGATGTGTTTTAAATCATTTCTGTACTATTAAATTAATAAATGACTATAGTTAAACACGCAATTTCTTAATATAACTGAAAGTAAACTGTACCTAATAACTTTTAACTTTTCTGAATAATAAAATTGATTTGAGAACGACGAGTTCAAAAGCCAATGAGAACTTTACATGTGTACCAAACTGTATGTTGTTATCGTCCCCCAATTCTTTCACCTTTCTTTAAAATAAGTTTAAACTTATCATGTCTGTAGAAGGCTGCGGTTGAATAGCTTTATTCATTATATTATATCTTAGCTGTTCTGCTGTGTCGATCATTTACTGTGTTAACTGTTATGTTTAGTGATAATTTCAATGTATTACGGACTCTGTGTCATAGTATAGAAGTTTCCGGACATCGTCTGTTTCGTTTTATTTGGGTAAGTTTACACAAAATGATTATGACACCAAAACCGTACAGTTATACCACGAAATAATTGTTAATTACATCGATTTTTACATTTGTTTTAGTGTCGACGTTATTAGATCCATACAGAACACTTTTAATGATTCTTTTATCCTCTATGCGTATATTACGGATTACATAGGACTAAAATGCGTGTAATTGTGGAGTTTGTATTTGTGTACCACACATTATTTTAAAATACGTACCATTTACTACTAGTTACTTTAAGAATGTTTTATAGCATCGAAAATATAATTATATTTATTACATATCTAGAGAGTTGAACACTTTTGATGCGAAAAGGTGTTGTAATTTGTCATAAATGTTAAATAGCTGAGTTTTGGTGGATCCAGTTACTATTGTACATAATATTAATTTGATGATAACTTAGATAGCAAATAATAAATTTTTTTTACAAAGTTTATAATGAATCCATGTTAAATTATCACCTTTTAAAGAATTAAAATTTTAAAATAAAATTTTTAGAAATGTTATAGATTTTTTGCCTCTAATTATTTTCTTCAAATTTATACAGTTTTTAGCATTTATTGTGCCTACAGTTTTACTTTATCTTCAATAACACCAGTTGGAGACATGTTGACGAAAACCTCATGGAAGAGTTATTTCTTCTTAAAATGTATCGTTTTTGGGTTACCGTATGAATCAATCAACAGCTTCATTCTTTACCTAATAATGGTTAGAATGTTAATCATATATAGGTTTACCAGAAAACTACTTTACTTAAGTTTACATGGTAAAATGTGCATTAAACTCTACTCAAAAAAGTGTTTATTGTTGCACTTAGGGTGTAGCATGATAATCATTTTATGTTTCTCTTGGATTTGTTATAGTTTACTGAAGTTATTTGTATACTTAATACTTGATATGAATCCTATGCACCACAATAATGTCTGTTAACATGTTATAATTGTATATTAGCACTGATTAATGGTTGTATACATGTTTGTTACCTAACGAGGATTATATGTTTCATATGTACTGATTAGTGTTTAATTTGAACATTCCCAGAACACATATCTAATACTAATGGATATTGTAACCCCGTTTAAAAATTAACAGTAGTTTTTTAACTCTGGATGCCTGAATTGGAGTACTAGCCATAAAGAATCCGCATATCCCATAAAACTTCACTCTAACTGGACCCTATTAGTTTTAAGCTGGTCTTGTACCAAGCTCTGACACATTTTCCTACATGTAAACTCCATATGAGTTTCACAGCAGATATTGGATAACAACTGGTCAATCAACCAAAGCAGAAGTTTTTAAAACTACACTTTAGGTTGAATAAGTAGGCCTCGTACTGAAAAAAAGTAGTTTAAAGATCAAACTGTTTCGATCGTTTGTTCGAACACCATTGTATAACATTTATGTTTTACTAGCTGTACCCGCGGGCTTTGCCCCGTTTAACTTCATATGACCTCGTTCGCATGGTTCTATCACGTCCTGGTTGAAGTTCGTTCGCTACGCTCACTCAATTTTTGGTTGGAGCTCGTTCGCTGCGCTCACTTGCCTTCAGGTTAGCTCGTTCGCTACGCTAACTCGCCTTAAGGTTGAAGTTCGTTCGCTACGCTCACTTACCTTTTGGTTTAAATTAGCTGTTGTCATAAATGTAAAAGAAATAATAGTGCTGCACCCTGTTGGTAATCCTTGTATAACTTTAATGCTATTGAACATCATAGAACAGAACCAACTTGTTTAATTGAAATAGCTGTTAAGATTCATTAATTCCATTTAAATATGAGTACTCATAAGGTTATAATGGGAAACTCTAGAGCCACTGGGGCGGAGCCCGAGAGTCCGATCAGATTAAAAACAGCTTAGTTTTCCTATTTAATGCCTAAAGAATCAGTGTACCAAATTTCAGCCTCCTAGGTAAATGGGAAGTAAGAGAATTAGTGATGAGTGAGTGAGTGAGTGAGTGAGTCAGTCAGTGAGGGCTTTGCCTTTTATATATATAGATTACATTTCGTTAATGCTGCTTGAGGAACATAATGCTGCTGTCATTTTTTAATGTGGTGTACAGTGACAGCTGTAACCAAAATGAAATTAGAAAATTGTGTCCTAAAATATATATTACAAAATCAATAGTTTTTCGTTTGAATATGCTTGAAAAACTTTCAATACTTCTGTAGTACAAGAAAGTGACATCCAGTAGTGGGAATAGTTAAAGAAAACGTTCAAGTACTAGCAATATGACCAGGATGTATAAAGTAGCCTGCCCTGGACTTCTTAAGACCAAATATGCTTCCTTAGATCTTGCCTGATTCCAAATTGAATTAAGAAAATGCTGACTAGTGACGTTGCAGGTTTTGATAATTTTGCACTTTCAAAAAATCCAGTCAGTGTTTTCATGTTGGTGTTTCGGCTACAGACGAAGGTAAAAAAGAGTATCTTGTACATTAACGTGTTAAAATCGTTCTAGTCTCATTTACTTCATTCTATTACTTATTTAATCATCTACGGTTACGGTTAGCTGATTACACCGCAGTACTAACAGTTTTCCCATGGGATACTTGGTGATTAAAACTGTATTCATAATTAAGTTTTTGATTCACCTGGTTGAGCCTGAGGCTAATTCAGTTTGATTATATCTCATACAAGATGTTTAAAATACAAGGTAATTCACCGATTTGTTTTTAACTTTAGGTGTTTCTCCATCTAAATGCTTTATAATAGTAGTTTACGCAACGATCGAGTTAAGATAGTGATAACGGCACGAGCAGAAATTTAAGGTACGAGCCTTGGTGAATGCTTAAATAACGAGTGTCGTTGACACTTGTTACGCGAGCTGCCTATACTACTTTACCTGCGACAGTTTTTTAACTACTTACTTTCAAAAATCCAGTTGCGTGCCATTTTATGTATGTTTAATCCTTACGCTATTTATCAAATACCAATCATCTGTTTAGAAATTGAGTCATATGTGAAATAATGAGCAATTTTTTTCGAGAACGATTTGTATGCATACTTGAAAAATGCAAACGCGATATGCAAACAAACCACTGTTCTAAATATACAGAAACAAAGCAATGACCACAAGATTCTGGTCTGTAGAACGGGCACACTGATAGTTAGTAATAAAACAGAACTGACAGTTAACTTTACAAACCACTTTAAACTAACTATAAAACAACAGACCGTGTGGGTAGTAGGGTTGGCAGTTGGTTGCAGAAGGTTTATCGGGTTTATCGTCTGAACACATTTCTCTAACCACATTCTGAATTTACCCTTTGTCATTTCTGTAGAAAATAAGACCGGAGTTCATAATTTTTAAATGGTTTTGCATTTCACCTGTTAGTTTCAATGGACCTTTTGAATGTAACAATTATTTACTGTACAATTTTTTACAGTTCTAATATTTTGAAAT